GAATGATCAATGACTAAGTCAACTGGGCACAATGGATTAATCTTTTATGGATCTCCACCTAATCTCTTCATTGCATCTCTCATTGCAGCTAAATCTACAACTGCTGGCACTCCTGTAAAATCTTGTAAAATGACACGTGCTGGCTTGAATGGAATCTCAATTTATTTTGGAGCATTTGTCTCCCAATTCAAGATATTTTACACATCCTTTTATGTCACTGCAAACTCATCACAATTACGCACAGCTGATTCTAATAATACTCTGATTGAATAAGGTAAATGATCTATAAAATATATATCACAAACATACTTAATTTTGAATCCCCTAAAGCTGGTAAACTAAAGAACTTATACTCCTTTCCATCAACCTTTAATGTTTTCTAAGCCTTAATGTATGGGTTAGCTCTAGCTCCGAACCTGAATCTGGAAGTGAATCTTATCATAATTAAAAATTTATTTTAGGCATCACTCAACATTAATAATCACTTAAATACATCATTTTTTTTTATAATAATTATTCAAGGATATAAATCATGTATGCATTTTATAAATAATGATGAAATATTTTACAATAATCATTTTTTTAAATTCATTGATACTCTGATAGAAGAATACTGAAAACTAATAGGTTTTTAAATATCTATACTCAAAAATATATTAATTACTATATTTCAATATATATAAATTTATTTTAAAAGTACTTTAACTAACTTTCTTGGATCATAATTTTATAGATATATCAGAATATATATATTTAGATTACTTTCAATTTCTATAGAATTTGTAAATAATAAAAGGAATAAATTTTTATTTAAGTAATTTAAAAAATTTCTTATTTGAAGATATCTGTATTAGTATTTTTTTTAGAAAATTGTTTCACTAATACTAATTACCAAACAGTATTATTACATAAAGTGTTTGATAAATATATAAAATATAAGAATTTTTATCTACAATATAAATCTACTTCTAATTATGTAATTTAAAATAGTTTACTTAATAAATAAACTATCAAGAGTTAAGCAATCATATACATCCAATTTAAGTGAAAAGGTTTATATTAAATAAACTAATTCTTATTAATGAATCAATACAATTAATGTTAATTAGTTTATAATATATATTAAGTTATTGTCATAATTTATTGTTATCTTAATGAGTATTACATAACTATTTAAATAATAATAAACCTTAATTAAACATTAAATAATATAATCATAATTATTAGAATAGATTAATATAGAAATTATTTTGTATTTATAATTTTCTAGTATTATTTATTTAATACAATGCTTATTATACTATATTTGATATTAATAATAAAATTTCTAATTTAATTAAAAGAAATTATTACTTATAATTATATATATTTCGTTTTAAAAATGAATAGTAATAAAATAGACAAAGAAAATATATTTAAAATCTTAACATAACTCAAAAGAGAAAGTAAGAAGTTTAAATATGAACAAGACTCAATAAAAAATAAATCAAAATAATCTTCTTCATTTTCACTATATAATATTAATGATTAATAATTTTGGGATGACCAATAAGAAATGAATTATACAGAATAAACTCAATTAAATTCTTAGTAAAGCTTTCTATAAGTTGATTCAAAAATAACCAATAATGAAGAACAAAATTACCCTTTAATGTTAAAATATGCTTATTATTATCTTAAATGGGTATATATGATATAATGTGGAATTAAATCTGAAGAATAAATAGATGAACTCATAGAATCAAATGATATATCATAATATTACCTTACAAGAGAAATTTAAAAGAAAGCACAATGTAAACATTTAGCTTTCAATAAGAATGATACTCTTATTGCAATTACATAAAATAATGAAATTGAAATTTTGAAATTTAATAATGAAATTACAGATAAAATTGCATAACTAAAAGGTCATGAGAATGATGTAAATTGTTTATTATTCTCTAAAAAATCAAATTCTTTAATTTCAGCTGGAGAATAGATTTTTATGTGGGTAGAATCATCTTATGATAAATGGTAAACCAGATATAATATTTATGCAAATAGCCCTATAAATTGTTTGACATTTAATAAAGCTGAAACTTTATTAATTACTGGTAATTAATAAGGTTCCATACAAGCATATAAACTAGATTTTATTAGAGGCTAGATCTTTTTGATAAATGAAATTAAGAAAAGTCAAAATTTTGTCTATTAAGTTAGTTTTAATAAATCTGAAAATAGATTATTAGCTTGTACTAAGGATGATTTAATATTGATTTTGAATATAGAATATGATGGAGGATTGACTATGTATAAATTAATAAAGAGAAATAAATTTGCTTGTCGTGTTATCTTTTTAGATGATGAAAGAATACTTTTGGCCTAAAAGTAAGCTTTGATTGAATTGTAATTATAAAATGATACAATAAAAGAAACAATAATTCAAGAAACTGACTCAGATAAAGATTGGTATTAATTTCCAATATAATATAATTAAGCTTAAAATGTGATAGTATTAAAACAGAATAAATATATTTATATAATAAAAGAATTAAATAAAGGAAATTATTTATTGTAACAAAAATTAGATTTCGATTCTATTGAATTATTTGGAACTATATCAAATTGTGGAATTTATTTAATCACTTGGAATAATTAGAAATTATAAACTTACATGTTACTTAAGTGATTTATTTTAATAAATAAAATAATCATCAGGTTTTAGATATGAAACATTATGTTACATATTTAATTTAAATAAAAAATAATTTGGAATATATTTAATACACTTTTAGATTATGTTATTTACTAAGTAATCCTATTTTTAATAAATTTATATACTAAAATAGAATATTGAATGTTAAATATATTTCTATTTTAATATTTTACAATATTTATCTTTTAGTTTCATATAACCTCAAACAATAATCTTTAAGTATCAATCCAAATATGAAAGATTAATACAAATTATTTATGAATTTCTTTATTTCTTTATAAATAAACTTAATATTTAATTTATAAACATCATATAAAAATAAGTGAAGATATTAATAAAATTAGCTAATAAAATATGAATAAAATTTAATTTATCAATAAAATTAGAATTGTAATAATAATATTCAAGTTTTTCTATATAAAAATTATAAAAGAATTAATATTATATATATTAAGAAATAAAGGGGAAGTCATGAAATTTGTTGAATATATATAAAATAATTAAATATAGTTCATTACAAAAATATGAATTATTTGTTAACATAAATACACAGTAAATTACTTTAATACTTAAATTAAATCCCAAAATTCATAATAATTTAAACCATATTATATATATTATGAATACTTAAGTTTATGACCTTTTTGCTTAAAATGAGAATCCAAAATTTGTAGCCAAATTGTTAGCTTAGTATAGGATTGTTTAATTTCTTGGTCAAGGTGCATTCAGTAGTGTATTCAAGGTCTTTCATGATGGTGAATTTTTTGCTATTAAGGTGATATATTTTATTATGATATTAGGCAGATAGTTGATAAAATGAAAGGTTACACAGAAAAGTTATAATAAGAAGCCTCAATTTTAAGTTAATTGAAACATCCTAAAATAGTACAATATTATAAGACTTTCGAATCAAAAAGAAGACTCTATTTTATATTGTCATTCATAGAAGGAAATACTCTTTAATAATTCATAGATGATAGCAATATCAGATTTTCAGAATAAGAATGCATAACATTAATTCGGTAATTGGTTGATGTACTGAGCTATCTACATTCCAATCGAATTATTCATAGAGATATAAAACCAGGTAAGATCGGTTGTTGAAAGTAGATAACATCATTGTTGATAAGAACCTTAATCTAACTTTGATAGACTTTGGCCTAAGTTACATGACTACCTAGTAAATTACTACACATTAAAATTGTGGAACATTAATATATATGGCTCCAGAAATTCTAATGAAAAAGGAATACTTTAAATCAATTGATATTTGGAGTTGCGGCATCATTTAATATTAATTATTAAAAAATTGTCATCCCTTTTAGACTAATTTAATAAAAGAAAAATATATTAAATAAATGTCTGTACCATAAAAAGTAGATTATAGCGGTATGTCTAAGTATAATTTTATATTTGAAAGAGCTGCTATTTCTTTTTTTGAAAAAACTGCTGCTTTTGAACCTGAAGCAAGAATAACTGCTGAATAAGCATTATTACATCCATGGATAACTTCTTAGTCATCAGAAACATAAATTATGACAAGTAAAGAAATATTCTAAGCATACAAAGGAATACTAATATTCACTAAAGTATTACAATTTAATTAATATAATCTAGTTTTTAAAATTGTTTGTTTTTCTACAATTTATTAAATAAAATAGTGAAAAAGCTATTAAAGCCATAGTTTTACCTTCATCTAAGCGTTTTTTTTCGAAACAAAAGAGTCCCAAAAAACCAAAAATCCTCTAAATACCTTGTTTAAATTCAAGTATTAGAAGTAGTAGAGATGTGAGTATTATTTTTTATTTTAGAGTTCAGAAAAACCTAAAATAAAATTTCCACAAATTATTCATTCAAAGAATAGTCCAAAAGGTGAAGCAAGTCCTTCAAAATTTACTTTTTATTATAAAACCATTAATCCAACTTAAACAACCATAGAGTTTGAAAAATCTAATGTTAGATTTAAATGAATATCTTTTGTATCATTTTTATAAATCTAACAAATTAACTATTGAATTAAATATTTACTTAAATTAGTAAATTTTTTAGATGACAAATAACTTTAAATTGTTAAATCTTAATAATAATCTAAACGATCCATTAATATGGAAATGTAGAATAGGATATATCATAATTTAGAATGAGTTAAATATATTCAAAAGATAATTTCAAGTAATATGGATTAAATTTACAAATCATTTATATAACAAAGTATTATTTATTAAATAAGCATAGAGAATTCTAAAGATGTTAAAAAAATAATTAATTTAATAATATATGAACAGAATTTAAGTATTAAAAATCATTTATTTTTCTTCTTTAATTCTAAATCTCTCAATTTCCAATAAGGTGTATTTTCATTTTTTATACTTCCTCTTTTTGATCTAATTTGTTAACATTTGATGCTTAAAGATTCTTCAGTTTTTTATTTTCCTAATTATTCATCTAATCTATCAATTTTTAATGCTTTATCCCAAACACTACTAGTTGGAGAATTATGAATTTCAATAGGATTTAAAGCTATTTAATCTAATATTTTTTCTTTATCTTAGTCCAATATAATCATTATTTTTCTACATTCTAGTCTATTAGTAAAGTTATTATTTTGTATATCTTCCCCTTTATTTGATTCAAAGTATGGTTTAGCAAGTTATTACGTTTTTTGAACAGGTTTAAAATTATCCTCACAACAGGAAGGTTTTCTTTTTCCAAAAAAAAAGTCAAGATTTTTCTAAAGTGAAATTTAATTATCCATTATTTATATATCTTAAAAAGAGTTATTTCTTTCAAAGGGATTTCTTGGTTCTTATATATTATCATCTCTATTAGATTACATAAATTAAGCAGTTCCAGGTGTATCNTAAAGTATTACAATTTAATTAATATAATCTAGTTTTTAAAATTGTTTGTTTTTCTACAATTTATTAAATAAAATAGTGAAAAAGCTATTAAAGCCATAGTTTTACCTTCATCTAAGCGTTTTTTTTCGAAACAAAAGAGTCCCAAAAAACCAAAAATCCTCTAAATACCTTGTTTAAATTCAAGTATTAGAAGTAGTAGAGATGTGAGTATTATTTTTTATTTTAGAGTTCAGAAAAACCTAAAATAAAATTTCCACAAATTATTCATTCAAAGAATAGTCCAAAAGGTGAAGCAAGTCCTTCAAAATTTACTTTTTATTATAAAACCATTAATCCAACTTAAACAACCATAGAGTTTGAAAAATCTAATGTTAGATTTAAATGAATATCTTTTGTATCATTTTTATAAATCTAACAAATTAACTATTGAATTAAATATTTACTTAAATTAGTAAATTTTTTAGATGACAAATAACTTTAAATTGTTAAATCTTAATAATAATCTAAACGATCCATTAATATGGAAATGTAGAATAGGATATATCATAATTTAGAATGAGTTAAATATATTCAAAAGATAATTTCAAGTAATATGGATTAAATTTACAAATCATTTATATAACAAAGTATTATTTATTAAATAAGCATAGAGAATTCTAAAGATGTTAAAAAAATAATTAATTTAATAATATATGAACAGAATTTAAGTATTAAAAATCATTTATTTTTCTTCTTTAATTCTAAATCTCTCAATTTCCAATAAGGTGTATTTTCATTTTTTATACTTCCTCTTTTTGATCTAATTTGTTAACATTTGATGCTTAAAGATTCTTCAGTTTTTTATTTTCCTAATTATTCATCTAATCTATCAATTTTTAATGCTTTATCCCAAACACTACTAGTTGGAGAATTATGAATTTCAATAGGATTTAAAGCTATTTAATCTAATATTTTTTCTTTATCTTAGTCCAATATAATCATTATTTTTCTACATTCTAGTCTATTAGTAAAGTTATTATTTTGTATATCTTCCCCTTTATTTGATTCAAAGTATGGTTTAGCAAGTTATTACGTTTTTTGAACAGGTTTAAAATTATCCTCACAACAGGAAGGTTTTCTTTTTCCAAAAAAAAAGTCAAGATTTTTCTAAAGTGAAATTTAATTATCCATTATTTATATATCTTAAAAAGAGTTATTTCTTTCAAAGGGATTTCTTGGTTCTTATATATTATCATCTCTATTAGATTACATAAATTAAGCAGTTCCAGGTGTATCAACTGTTTTTTAAATTAGTTTAGATTCTTCAGTTTAAAGTGATGCTTAAAATGTAATTCTGTTTGAAATAGGATTAGTTTCTGGTCCTAAAATTTCAAGAGGATTAGGAACTTTTTCTTAAATTTTCTTTTTTAATTCTTACAACTTAAGAAGAGTTGTATCTCTATCACTAACACTTGGTCTCTTTCTATTAATAACAATGTTCTTTAAAGGCAAAGCTTCTTAACTAACTCTAATAGGTGACGCATCATTATTGTGAACTGTTTTATGTTTTTTTATTTCTTAATTACTCACATTATCCTTTTATTATGGAGGTTGATGTTAAGATTAATTAGTATGACATTTTTAATATTTCTTGAGTAATTATAATATATCTGGGGTTGATTTTTGTTTTTGTCTTTCAGGTTTGTGTATTTATGCATAAGAGCTTTATTTCTAAATTACATATTCAGACAATTTTCTTTTGATTGGAGTATGTATTTTGGAATATGAATCTTTGCTTCCATGACGTTAATGATCACTAAAATTGGTTGGGTTAATACTCATATGTTTCTGTTAATTTAATTTGAGTATATTTTTATATTATTAGTAATCATAGTATTTCAAGATAATGAGATTTAAGTTTATGTAGACTTGCTAATGATGTCCCAGATCTCAAATCTATAATTACTCATTATGATAGCTATTTTTTAATTAATTTATATTGTATATCTTATGATAAACATTTACTATATTTTGGTTGTATTATCTATTACATTGAGTTATCAATTACATAAATAATAAATAACCTCAATATCATTTTATTCATAGAACATTTTTAATACTCAAAATGTTATAGTAAAATTGTTAATAAGTGTAATTCATTATAAAGAGTCTTTTATGATACCATCTATATTTTATGTATTAATAATTTAATCATATTTGCATCCATATTAATAATATTTTAATTAAGAATCAAGAAGAGATAGAAAATACATTTATGTTATTATTTATATTTAATCTGATTACTTATATTTATGTATTTGTATAAAGTATGGAGTTTCAACTTTAATCATTACTATCAAAGAAATCTAATAGTGGATACTATAACATTTAAGATTTAATATTATATTAAAAACATTAAAATAGAGTTGAAGATAATAATATTTATATTCTAATATTAAAATCTAAGTAAACTTTTTATATTTTAATATGTCTTTTAATGTAGCAATAATTAAGTCATTTAGTTTCTTAATATGAATTATTTTGAAAATTCATAACATTCCTATAAATTTTTTGTTTAGATTTTTGCTACTGCCATCTCTAACCAATTAGAGTGGATTTGAAGTTTATCTCAAATTAATAATAACTTCATCCTTAAATTAATCATTCTCTTCGTTTTCTTATTTGCTGTGTTGTTTCTCATTTAATACATAATCAACACATGTGCTCCTAAGTCTTTCCACCTTTTCTTGAAGCTCTATACTATCTACATCCCCTTTTATTAAATTTAAGGAGAATGGTTGAATTTGAAGTACTTTTGGAGAATATTCTTCTTTAATAGAGATCTATCCTACTATCTATGATTCTTTTTCTTTGAAAGGTATCTGTTAACAACAACCCATAATTTAATTTATTTAATAGGAGAGACAAATTATATTATTTTCAAATTGATTTAATTATAATAAGGTTGAATAAGTCAATTAGATTGCTTTATCTATAAAGTTTATATTAATTATTCAAAATTTGATATAATAGTATATATATGATTGATATCTTTTTAATCATTTGATAAATTATAATACTGGATTGAAGGGGTTCCAAATTTTTGAATATATTGATATTTTAGTAATTTCTATAAGAAAGCATTTCTGATGCTTATCATTAAATATTAATAAAAGTTTTTACAATTCAAAAATTTTAATATTAAAATATATATTATATAGAAAATTAATTTAATTCTTGGTAATTAAGGTGAAAACATTAAATAATTTTTCAAATCTTTATGAGCAATAATTTATTCAACGTACTCAACTTCTCCGATACAGAAGAAGTCCCAGAATAATAATAGAAAAAGTCTAAGAAAAATAATAACAATAAGGAATAGATTATCCCAGTTGAGTAAGTACAAAAAGAAAATACTAAACATGATAATCCCGCTCCTAAACAAAAAGGTGTTACTTCTGATCCTCATCCAAAAGATAGATAGTCTGGTACTGGAAGAGGCAAAGAATAACGAAAAGAAGGTGGTGGCAGAAACAATTGGGGAAATTACAAAGATGACCTTAAAGAAGAGAAATATGTTGCAAAAGAATAAAAGACTTAAGATACACAAAAACAAGAATAAAATGAATAAACAACATAACCAGTTTAACCTCCTGCTCCTGAAAAGACTCTTGCTGATTATTATTAATAAAGAGGAGCTGTATTAATTTTAATTTTAAATTTAGAATGTTGAAGATATTCTCAAAAAGACTGAGACTAAACCATAAGTAGTAAAACAAATTGACGAAGAAGCATTGAAAAAAGACAAGCTTTTTGTTATGAAAACAAGAGAAGACGAAAAAAAACTATAAGAGTAAAAGCAGAAAAAAACAAGATAATAATAACCTTATAGAAGTGAGCTTAATACTTAAGCTGCTGAATATTTGGGATTTACAAATTAAGTATAAGAACCTGAAAGAAAGAATGAAAGAAGAGGAGAAAGAAGATAATATGATAAATAAGAACCAGTTTAAGAATAATAATAATAATAAGAAAGTGAAACTTAAGTTTAAGGTGAAAAAGGAGAATAAAACGAAAGAGAAAATAGATAAGATAGAGGTGCTAGATAAGGAGATAGATAAAATAAAGGATATAAGAGAGATAGATAAGATAGACCATAACATGATAGATAAAATAGAGATAACAATACAAGAGATTAAAGAAGAGGAGATAAATAAAGAAGAGGAGATGATAGATAAGATAAAAAACCTCAATAAAGATAATAAGTACTATAAATTATTAATTATTTTAGGAATAAGGAATTCAATTGGATGACAAAGATTTCCCATCTTTATGAGTATGATGAGTATTAAAATATCAATCATTATCTAAAATTAAAAGTATATTCTTTATCATTCCTTAATAATATTATTTGAACTATCTAATTATATTAATTAAAAAAGATTAATTTATATATATATATATATATATGTATGTACATAAATCAATATTATTTAACTAATTGTCTATGAGATGATGTTAGGACTTTACCTTTTAGCAATCTATTCGAAGGTGCTGTACCTGGTCTAGGAAGTGGTTTTATTGATTATCTATCTGATTTTATACTAAATAGATTCAATTTTCTTTATAATTATTCATCAACAATTTAATTTAAAGTATATTTTTTATTCATCCAATTATTATCAGAGGGTTAAATTCTCAATTTGATAGGCATATATGAATATTGCATTTTAGGTTATGGAGTGCTAAATTTTTTGAATTCACTTTCATTTAATAGTTCAAAAATATTTACATTTAATAATAAGGTGGAATGAATTAAGACACTAGGTTTTATTTCCATTAAACTTTTTTAAGACCAATTTCTTTCTTTCTCTTAGACTCATTTGAATAGGTACGTTAACTATTTAGATATGTGTTTCTTGCTAATATCTCATCCTCATTATGGGCAATATCCCAATTTTAACTAAGCTTTGAGACATGAAGCCACTTTTCATAATTGAGTAGTTATTGAAAAACATTAGATTTAATTTCGAAATCGTTTTTTAGATTGTGTATATATTGTAAAGTCTTTTATAATGTCCATTTAAATCTAGGAGTAAAATTTAGAGTGTATACTTGCGCATTAAAAATACAACAACTACAAAAACTGAGCGATTTAATGCTCTAATAGAATGAACTAAAACAGCTTCTCCTTCTTCAAGGGCATCATTAATAAAGGCGAAACAGCGGGAATGGTCAAATGTAAATTGTGTTTCACTTTCTAACCACTAATAAGACAAATATTCTATGCCGATGGATTCCCAATGATTAGGAATATGTTTGGCAGCACAATTAATTATCTTGGTTATCTTGTTTGTCACCAAGAACTCTAAATCCTCATGTTTTAGATCACATTTACATGGGCTGCACCCTAATCTCCAAGGTAAAGACCATCAATGATACGAGTTGGCAATTACATTAAAAATATATATTTATTATATATGCTTTAAGAAAGTATACTCAAGTTGAATCAACTCTTGTAGTCATATAATTAGTCTAAAATTAATGAAGCATCAGAACTTCTTACTCTAGAATAACAATTACAAGTAAGACAGTTGGTAAGAGTGCTTTTAGCATGCTACTTCAGAATTTCATACACTCAAAGTATCTTATGAGAAGTACCATGAGATATGGAGAGAGCTTCTATTAAAGAATGAGTATCAACCTACTCAGACTATTCCCATTTGTCAAATAGGATCAGCAAAGAAGAGTCTCCTCAAATAGTAACTTAGTTCCAATATCGATCCTCTACTGTATCCAAGCATATCATAAAAAGTGCTACTGTTTAACATTTAAATGTTATATCAATTAAAGAGTTGAACACATTAACTAAATTAATTGAAAGAGAACCAGTTTTTAAAATTCCAACTATTCTCACTGACTCTGAAATCCAACTTGATCGATTAATAGAAATAGTAAGGAATCAAATTACAAGTGAAACCTCACCAATATGTTTATGGATAATTGATTTTTGGTCATGTATTGAAAGATTCGAAAGGATATTTGATCAATACATAAATCTAATTAGCAAATATGAAGCTAGACTTGAAAGTTCTATTAAAACATCTTCAGAGTTAAGTATTCAGAAGTAGCTTAGTAATATCTCTATTTATTCTAGAATTATCATATGATGAGATCAAAAAAAAAAGTATTTCTGAAAAAGAATTGAATTCCTAAAAAGATTCTTGTATTAAATGTTGTATATTCTGAAGAATTCAGTAGATTTCAAATAATGATTAGTTGTATATGTATATCTATACAATATTAATAATAAACTATTAAATTTAATTATGAAACAGAATAATTATAAAGTAAAGGAGGGATATTCAGAGAAAATCAAACAACCTCTATATGATTTTCAAAAATTTCATTTTCAAGTAATTTTAAATATTTATCAATTCAAGAATCATAAACAATAAAACCAAACTTATTAAACTAAAGAAAAACAGGTTACAATTAAACCTGTTTCTAAATTATATAATTAGCATGCCATTTTATATTAATAGAAGACAAACTAGAATCTCTTATTAAAATTCATATAATCTACTAAAACACCATCATAACATTTGTTATCTAAAAAGGAATAGCCTAAAATTAATGTTTGCACAAAAAGTATGAATGAATTAATACTTATTAAGATAACTAAATCAATTTATTACCAAAAATAAATGATAGCTAAAAGCAAGAAAAAGATTAGAGAAAAAATTTAAGTGAAGCAGTTTTGATATAAAAATATCACACTACACGATTGATTGAATATTAAAATTAAAAGACCTTTTCAATACTCAATAAATTGACGAACAATAAATTTAATAAAAGCAGATATTGCAATCTCAATTTTCTATAATAAATCAATAAACAATCGAAATTTGTCATATTTGTTATCTAAAATATGGAGTTGTATGGTGTTAAACATACTTCTTCCTTTATTGGAAAAAATCCACCTACTTATTAATGTTCATTCTTTTCAGATCACAAATTACTATATAGAAGCAAACCTGTAGAATATACTGAATTTCTAGAATCTATTATAGGATTTCATTGCTAAGAATTTATATCTATATATGTAGTGATTGAAAAGATTAAATAAAACGAAGAAGTAATACTATTTTTATTTTATATTTAGTTTTAAGTAGGAGAAGTTATTTATATTGAAAGTTATTCTCATATTACAACTACTCCCTTAAAAGATAATATAATGATAAAGGTTAGTGACGAAATAGAGGGTGAAATAAAGAAGACTATATCTGATGAGTAAGTTACAATTGGTAAACTTCAATATAAAGTATTGTAATTATGTTAATAAAATAATTAAAACAAATTGCAAGCTCCTTAATCTAGTTATGCAATTTAAATTTAACAATAAACTCCTCGGCCTTCAGCAAGATAAATAGATGAAAATTCATCTTCACAATTACAATGATTATTAATTTGTTAATTAGTTACATTATTAAATTAAAAGTTATAAATATAATTTATGATAATTAGATTAAAGTAAATTGAAAATAATATTTTCATTTTCTTGTAATTAAATTTGATATATGATTTCATTATATAAATATAATTATAATAATGATATTAAATTTAATATGATAACTAAACAGATTGATAAAATGATATAAATAATAATAAAAATTCTTATTTTTCTAAACAAAATAATAGACAAACTAAATATTTAGATATCAAAGAATTTATTAATTTCTATTATATTTTTTCAGTTATTGGAACTTTGAAGAATATTTTTGATTTGGTTAATTTTTTACCAAGGTACCATCAGGATGTAAATGTTGAATATAAGGAATGTTTATTGACCTTTTAAGTATTTTATAAACAAGAATATTTTTAGCCTTTAAAATGTTTTTGACAACAAAATTAAATTAACCTTTGATTAATGAATAACTTTTAAATCATTCTCTTAGAGATATTAAATTGATTCAGATTTTTGTTATCTTTTTTGATTTCATATATTTCTATATATCTAATCTGCTTTTATGTATAATATCTTACTTAATCATCTAGAAAAATGTCTATTTTAAATAATTTTTCCTTACTTAAGCAAAATTATCAAGAAGTTCCCTCTACAATTCATTTATTCAAAAGTATTTTAAATATTAATTACATGAGTATTAAGTCTAAAAATCTAATCATTTATATTACTTCTATTGGATGAACTTATTAAATAAGAGTAGGCTATATAATTTTTGATAATATTAATTATTAAATTATAAATCACACAGCCATAGAGTAATTATTTAGTTTGTAAAGATTTTTATTTTTGGCTGATTTGATCAAATTATCTACTTGAATGTACAAAGGACTTTTTGGAAATTTGGGAGAAATTAAGGTTACATTTTTTGATTCTCGAAGGACTGAACCTCTGATTAAAAATAAAACATAATACTCAGTGCGAAGTCGAGTAGTGCCATTTTTGCTTTGAGATCTGGATTTATATAATGAATTGTTGTTTGATCTATTTTCATTGACTGATGGTTGTTTTTTAGGTTTGAGTAATCGTATTAATAATGTTTTGCTAGTCTTAGGCATAGTACGTTCAGTTTCCATTGATTTATTACGGATTGGTTTGCATAAATTGTATAATCCAATATTTTTCAAAGAATCTAATGAATCATCATCTGAAAAATCATTGCCTTCTCGTTCAAATACATAATTATGGTTATGACGACTCTTTGCATATCGCTTCTCTATTTCTTACTTGAACTCGATTGTTTATAATCTCACAAGCTCCTCAGACATAATATATCGTTAGAATTTTAATTAAATTAATATCAAAAATGAATGAAGCCATAGACATCATTTTGATAAATTCATAAATTAAATTAATTTAATAATAATGTAGAGAATGAACATCAAGTATAGTAAATAATAAAGAAACTTATCATTATCATAATGAAATTTTGATGAGTAAGTTGTTTGTTACTAATAAAATTATATTTACTAATAATACTGTAAATAAGATTTCTATAAAGGATATTATTTATAATTCATTGTATTAGATTTAGTAATATATATAAAGATCAGTAGAATTTTTAATATGTATAAGAAATAGGTATTGAAATAACATAAATAAAATTAATAAATTTAATATACAATTGGGTGATATTTAATTATACGAAAATATGTGTACACAGTGATTAATTAAAGAATCTATACATATTTATATAATGTGTCAAATATTTCCATACATTTAGACTAATAAAATTTATTTAAATTATTTGACCAATTATTTTAATGAAAATAATGAAATCATAGTAATTGCAAAAAGACTTAGAAGCATTTAAAAAATAGCTTAAATAAACACTTCCAACAATAATTAATAGAGTGACTAAGGATATAGGATAAATACTTTATTTTGAGAAATTATTTAAAGATTAAAAAGCAAATTCAGTTTAAGAATTATATTTTTAAAGTCTTCTTAGATTGGATCCTCATATAGCAAGATAATAACCATAATTAGATGAACCAATTTAGAATATTAATGAATAAATACATTTATATTTTGAATAACAAACAGAGAAATTATAAGAAATGGTTTTGTTAGAAAAAGAACTTAAAATGATGAGAGAATTAGAAGAATTATAAGTAAGTTAAGAGAGTACTTAAATATAAAATGCTTCTATAGAATTAGAATAATAAAAAGGAATGGAAGTTGAAAAATAAAATATAGAAGAAATATGTAATACAATAAAAAGGAAATATTGGAGATAAGTCTAAACACCTAATTGTGATTAATGTTTTTGTGGAAATCAATTACATTATAAGTAAATAATTAAATGTCATTTATGTGAAAAACATTTTCATGTAAATTGTTTAGATAAAAGTTATGATGAAAGATATGTTAAAAATTTTACATGTCCAAGATGTACTTTATATCATATGGATTAATTTTGTGAAGTTATTTCTATTATTGTAGAACCATTTTCATTTAAGAAAACAGGTTTAACTAGCACAAAAACTGTTAAATTTAAATCAGATACTAATAAAATTGATATTAGATGTATTAGAATGGATTGTCCATTATCAGCAGAAGAAATTACATGGCCAGATTTAGGAGAATTACATATTAATAATAAAAAAGTGGCTGAATTTATACCATTAGCTTAATAGAGTTGTCAACATAAACGTAAAGATGAAAAATTAATATTCACAATTCCATAAAATGAAGAATGTACTTTAATGATGAAAGAAATTATACCTGGTATGGAATAAAAAAGAAAATATAGAATTTAAGGTGAATAATTACATTATGTTGCTGTCTATAAAACTAAATAATATAATGCAAAATAACTTATAGAAAAGATTATTGTATCTAGTGAAAATTGGATGAGTGTTGAATAAGCATAAGATTTTATTATACTTTAGATGAATTACATATCATCTACTGGTATCAAATAAATTAAATAAACTATTTCCTTATTATGTTGTTTATGTTCAACATTAATGATTACTCCTGTTAGAGGAATTTATTGCAATCATATCTAATGTTTCTCTTTAGAAAATTATTTAATGATGCTTGAATTTTCAAATCCAAGAAAATGGAGATGTCCAATTTGTAAAGCTAAATTATTTAAATTACAAATTGATGCTTTACAATATACTATTTTGTAGACTATTAGATAATATAATTTATAAGATAAATATACAGAAATATCATTTGATCATATGGGAAATATATTGGATGATCTCATTTAAAAATATTTAGATTTTAATATTTTACCTGAACATGCTAAAACTAGTAGAAATAGAATATTACAATTAGAAACCTTAAGTAATTAAGAAAATGAAAATGAAATTGAAGCCAATGAATCTGAATAACAAAACAATAGACTATTTAATCCTAACTCAATTGTTATGATAAATTATTAAATAATATAATAATTATCTTAATCTTAATCTTATATCACTAATATTTTTTATTAAATATACATAAATCTAAATCTTACTAAGGTTCTAAAACAAAATATATATAAGAATATTAATAACCCAAAGAAACTAAACTAACCATTTATAGAGCTCTAAAATTTAATTTATTTGAATTATAAAATTATTCTATTT